CCCCCCCCGTTATGCTTCTGATGTAGTTAGCTCTTTCTTATTATGCATAATAAACCTTCCCTACATACTGGCACAATTTCTTTGGGCTGATGGTTCATTCAATGCTTTCTTCTTAACCCTTTGATGATAGCAGTAAGTTTTCTCATAAAATGCAGTTATAGGCACAAAATTCTAAAATCCAGAATTAATATAAACTTAAGAGTCACATGAAAGGACTTGTGCTTCCAATATGGTATGTTGGATGTAAGACCTTTTGAAAGGTCCTTTGATTAAATATTGCTTGAAGAAAAATTTTTAATGGGATATCCATGCTTCAGTTGCAATTTTATTTTCTAAAATAATTTCATATCAATATTTACATTCTTAGTACCTCTGTTTTCAGAGAGGTAAGTGATTAGAATCTTGTGGGAATTGCCAGAGGGCACTCAGTTGTGCCTGTTGTGCCTGTTGTGTCTGTTGTGTCTGTTTCTCACTCTCCCTGCCCACCTTACCAAAAATTAACTATGCACTGCTTTCCCATTGCATAGCTGTGCAAAAAAGCTTACAGACATAGCTAAAGCTAGGGCACTCTGCAGTCCCTAACTTCTCCCCTAACTTCTTTGGGTTAAAGCGAAGCCTTTGCATTCTGGAGGATGAAGTATGGTCACATTTGTTGTCTGTCTGACTGCTGGGGCAGAAGGATGTGCTGGTAGTCAACAATAACGCTGTGTAGGTAATGGTAGCTTCCTTAATGTTGAGACTCATTGATCTGCTGCAGTCACTTGTGCCAATTCAATTCTCTCAATTCACTAGGGCAGAAATCTGCGTTGGCAGGCTGCCTTGTTTGTTTGAGTACTAAATTATTAATTTCTTGGCTATGGACTGTATGTGCTTCACACAACATAGCAAAAATTCTACCATTTTTCACCATGTTGTCATTATTGCTTACTGTTTGTTATGAAATGTGAGCTCTTTATCAATTTCTAGAACTGAAAAAATAGCACGTGTAAACATACTGTAGAAGGCAGTGCATTTGTATTGAAGGAATGCATTTTGCTCGAGTCTGTGGAAAATAGTTGGTAATCTGCATGGTATCTCTTCATAAACATTACAGTATAAGTTTTTCCAAATATGATTACTTCTACAAGCTCTTCAAATTTCTCAGTTTTGTGCTGCATGAGACATCACTATATTTCAGCCTGTGTTTATGCTTAGTCTTGAGCCTTGGATTTAATATTACTTTATATTTTGATAGTGACAATTAGTTCAATGAGAAATGCATGTATTTGTTATTAATTCTGTCTGAAAACTCTGTGAAAGAGATGAACATAGAGGTTAAATCTTCAAAGTTATCTCCATTGTTTCATGAACTTCTGTAGAAGACTTCTACTGTGCTTGAGGAAAGTTCTGCTCTTCTGCTGGAAGTTATTTCCCCTTTCCTTTTCATTACTTCCATGTTCAAGGAGATAAAAAAATCATTTCCAATTAGGGAAAAAAAAATGTTAAGTTTGTCCAGAAGGACTAAACTGAGAAGGACTGCTTTAAGCATCTTATTTTTAAATTGTTTTATGTTTTTCTGATTTAACTTTATTCCAGGTGTGTTCTCTCTCAGCCAAAAATTATTGAGGCTTGAGATGAGCTTTTTAAGCCACTTCCATGGGAAATTGACTGAGTTCTGAAATGTGTCTGGCACCAGTTTAATTTTTTTTTCCTCCCTTTTTTGCTCTTGAGGTATTGCAGTGAAAATGTGTCTCTGATTTATCTTACTTTTTGATGCCACCACTCTGGAGATTTTTGAGTGGGCAAGTATAATTTTTTAAAAAATAATTAGTTGCTTTCTATGAACAATACAGGTTCCATGATAGCAGTATGATTTTCATATTTATTTCTTACCAGCAACTTCTCTTTCATGCCTATTTTGGCCCTTGGGACTACAACTTAAACAAATACCACATTTTCTTTGCTAATTATTAAGTAGCGTCTTCCTCCACAACTGAATTGAGCTCAACAGCTTCTCAAATTTTAGAAAACAATGAGAACATCATCACTTTGTACTTCTGAAATCTTTTTTTCTAATGTGATGCATTGAGGGGAAGATGGAAAGGTCCATAAAATGCAAGGTGATCTTTTCCACATAGTTTAGGTATTTTATGTATCACAACAATTGATTGACAGGCACATGATTAGACTTTCATATCTCTGAAAAACGCTGATAAGTTCATATGACCTTTGATGTTCAGTACAGTATTTTTTTTCTCTCCTCCTCTGGTATCAATTCATTGATATGCAGCAGAGTTGCCTTTTTCTTGTTTAGAAGTAATATTATTTTCACTTTACAGTATGTGCTTCCTGTATATATTGTAGTTCTTTGGATAAAAAATAATCTATTGAGACTTCCATTTATCCTTTTGCATAATACTGTAATGTGAGTCCTGCTGTTCTGCAGGGGAAATAAACACCCCATAATATGCATATATATGTACATTTCTTGTGTTGGAAAGCACCATAAATCTTTTATAAATTATGTCCTAACCTCCTCTGGTCTGTGAATAATAGTAGGAAATGAGTAGAGTATCTTGCACTGTCAAACTTTTTTCTACTCACTTCAAACCTTTTACATTCCTTTTATATGTATGGCAGTAGCAATACCAGAGAATGTGGTGATGCATGCTTTGGAAGGCCTTGATTGAGAACTACCTGTTTTGACAAATCTTAAGGAAACTTTGGACAGTACTAAATTAGGCTCACTCATTTTGCTGCAAAAATAGGAGCGGTTTTTGAAAATTATTTTTTGTTTTTTCTTAGTGGAAGAGAGAGGCTGTGTTTCTACTATACAGGCATATGTGGCAGTTAACATGACTTTTAAGTAATGAAGTAAAGACTTCTTAAAAATGTGGTTCAGTGGGATGAAGTATTTTAGTGTCATCTACTCTGCTGCTGTATGGCTCAGTCTGTAGGGTGGATAACAGGCATATATGGCAGTTAACATGACTTTTGAAGTAATGAAGTAAAGACTTCCTAAAAATGTGGTTCAGTGGGATGAAATATTTTAGTGTCATCTACTCTGCTGCTGTATGGCTCAGTCTGTAGGGTGGATTCTGAGAAAAGTTCAGATCATGGCTGTGTGTATGTAATACATTGACTGCATCCCCACTTCCTGCCAAGACAGGAGTGCTAGAATGGAAACATTTATAAAAGCAAAATGGAAAAATATTAACAAAAAAAATGAATTTACGTATTTCCATATCATATAAAATGCTTTCCCCCTCCAAAAATGAAGTAATAAAAAAAAAGTATTTTCTATTTACATGAAACTGTTTCTATAGAAGTTCAGTAGAGCATTTTAACTTATCCTAATTAGCAAATAATTGGTCTTTAGAGAAAATTGATCCCTTGCATGTCTCTAGTGGGAGATAAGACAATGTATGTACAAAAGTTTGCTTACTATTTTAACATTTTAAACAGCTGTTTATTACACACATGCATATGGTTGGACATATCCCCTTAAACTTTTCAATTTTGATATTTTCTCTTAGAAGCTAGCTCGTCAGGGTGGCACACAGATTACTGTAGTATGCTTAAAAGAGTCAGAATAAGGCTGGGCTTTGGGATACAGGCAGAGTGTTGCATTAACTTATTCTACCTCAGCTCGTAGCTTTTTCATATATGTTCCTTAGCTTTGTGGTAGTGGGTGATCATTTTGATCCTTGTGTAACGAAGGAAGTTCAGTATGTCTCAGCTACTCTACAGAAGAGGTTGGTGGCTGCCTGGGGTGTGAATACAAAAGAAGGAAAGCTTTTTACTGTGTTGAAAGTTGTCTCTAAATTTGTTCCTTCTAAGCCATGGCTTGGACGTATGAATGCATAATGTAGGAGCAAGACTGAAGAAGAGTAATTAAAATGTTGGCAGGTTCTTTCAAAGGCTTGTGACAGTGTTTGTGGATCTTTTCATTTTTTGTGGCACTGGTAATACAAATGAATTTGGAAAAAAAAAAAGATGCTGTAACAATAGACCACCATCACAGCTTTATGTGGTGAAAGGTACCTTGATGTCTTACTCCAAGTATATATATATTTTTTTTCTTTTCTGAACATCTGCTTTGTTGCCATGGTACAATAACATCAGTTTTTCATTTCTTTCCTGAACTCAAAATATTTTTATAATTTTCAGAACGCTATACATCCATGGCCATACAAAGCTGGATTTCATGGTCTGGTATACTGCAATTGAAAAAGCAGCAGGTACAGATGGTAATGCACTACAAGATCAGCAGCTCAGCAAAAATGATGTCCCTATTATAGTGAACAGCTGCATAGCGTTTGTTACACAGTATGGTAAGTAGAGTGGATTTTATTCAAGCTAAGATCATTTGTGTAATACCGAAACACCCCCAGTGCCAGGTCCTATTGAATGAGTTTATATACTACTTAAAGTAAAACCATGCCCCTCAATGGCCTTGACGTTCTTTAATGAGATGGTGCAATACACTGCCACACCGCTGAGAATGGCCATTTTGGGGAAATACAGCTTGGTAAATGCCCTTTATAGACACTTTTCTATTTTAAATATTCCATTGTTTGCCTTATAAAACTCAGCCTTGGGTCCACTGCCCCAGTGCAGACAGCTCAGCCCAGAAAATAAACTCTGTAAACTTGGGAAAGCTGTGGTTGAACACATCTTGGAATCTGGCATTAACTATGGTCTTGAGTTCAGTCTTAGCCTGCTGGGTTTTTTTTTCAGTGAAATAACCTAAGGATTAGTTGGTTACCATTTATTTAAGTAAATTTTGCCAGCATAACTTTCCGTGGCATTAGGTTATATGCACATGATGTTTGTGTCCTTTTACTACTGCAAATTCATGAGTTTTCTTGTGAGATTGCTACATGCATATCAACTCTGTACAAATCTGTCTTTGGTATAAATGTGTCTGTAACCTCTGTCAATGAGAGCACCTAATTTCTATTTGAGTCATTGAAGTTTAACTAAATAACCTTTGGATAGGGCAACACTGCACTATTGTAAATAGTTGTATTTGGGTTACACCTAGTGCCTAACAGTAAGGAAAAAAAGCTTTTGCTAAGTTATTTTTAATGATTAGCAATAGAACTCAAGTTTTAAAAAATAAAAGTTTTGACTACAATAACATATGCAGTGATTTAAGGTAGTCATGACTTTGTTTTAAGCTATGCATTTTCTTTTTAATTTGACTTCAGTGGGTGGTTTTTTTACATATAAGAATAGTAGCTGACTGATGTCTTCCAGAACATGAGAAAAATCTGAAAAAGGGTATTTTCTACTAACTTGAGGCTTTTAAGAATAAAATATTTCAGGTTGGATGAATGCAGTAATACTTTGAGTCTTAAGATGAGTTCATCCATAGAGTAATAAAATAAAAGGAGTTTTCTCATGAAAGCATCTGCGTTTTATGTGCAATATAATACCTATCATTAAAACTTCTTTTTACTGTGCCTTTTGAAAGTACTGTTTTAGGAAGCCCTGAAGAGATTTGGGGATTTGAAATGTCTGTAGAATACTCTTGAAATAGTGATCCCGGGCTTGCTTACTATTATGATGAGTATTCTTGCAAAGAGGTCTAGTTGGGTATAAGAAGACTTGGCAGTGTTTTCACTAAAAAAAGGGAGTATCAGTAAAAGATCAGAAGGATACTGTTAGGAAATGCAACCACATATAATTGTTTGACAGCCACATATAATTTTCAAATAATGATATCTGGAATTTTTGAAAGAATGCTTAATTTTACATTCATTTATTTTTCTCTCCTGTATTTTTGTGCCTTAGGTTTAGGTAGCAAGCAAATTTATCTTAAGAATGGTGATTCTTCCAATGTGGCTGAACTGCTGGAAAGCTTCAAAAAAGATGCAAGAAGTGTTAAACTAAGAGCAGGAAAACATCAACTTGAAGATGTGACGGATGTACTGAAAAGTTTTCTTTCTCAAATAGATGATGCACTTCTCACTAAAGAACTTTATCCATTCTGGATCTCTGCATTAGGTAAGGCATTCAATAACATTCTATACAATAAAGGTTATATGTACATATTCAGTATGAAATTTGAGGGGCTTGTTAATTTGCTTACCCTGTGTCAACCTATGTTATTTCATAACTGGCAAAACAATGTAGTGAGAAAAAAAATATTTGGGGCATGGCTGCAATAGGAACATGATAATCAGAGATGATTTTTATAATGTTCTTTTAAAATGTTAGTCGCTGTATTGCAATATTTACAAACTGCAAGAAACAAGTGGTTTCCCTGCAAAACTGTGCTATAAAATTGCAGGCACAGCAGTAAGAGATGCATGGAAAATGCTGACAGAGCATTAGTTTCCATCTTAATGCATAGGAGTCACATAGGCGTATTTTTGTGTGGCACGTCTTGTCTTTATAAAAAGACACTAAAAGCATATTCCTTGTTTATTTTATTTTATTTCAGTTCAAATATATGGATGCTGCTTTAATATGAGCCACTAGACTTTCAGGAAATTAAAATATTATCAATATTACACATTTTTGACCTTCAAACTCAATTTCAAAAACTAGAGGAAAAAGTATTAGGAGTTCATTTGCTTACCACATGATTAATTGCATCAGAAAACAGAAGTTCTGAGGCAGTTTAGATTTGTCAGCTCTTTTTAATGGTGTTACAGTGATTTCCCTTCCTGATCTGTACACATGGCTAAAATTCTACTTCAGCTTTACAACGGAAAATCCTGTCTGGTTAAGTGATACAGAAGGTACTTCTAGGAAGACTAAAACATTTAAGGAAGTGGAGTAGAAGGCCTTTAAACTGTTGTTTTGTTATTTACTTTTTCTTCCAATTGCCATAGAAACCAAAACACAGTCAGTAGTTAGTGGAGAGCATCATCAATCAGCCAGCAGATTTCTGTGCTTTCTTTTCAGAAACTTGAGACAATCAAGGAACTGAGAGGGAAAAGCTAACTAAATGCAATCTGCATTAACTTTGTTTATGCTCTGAGCATAAGGGGGCAGCACGGGGTGGCAGACTTGAGGTAGAGAGCTGTGGTTGTGTTTCAGATACTGTCATTCCCAAAACTGGAATTCCTGCCATCAGCCTTGCCATTGTTCAGCTATATGTAACTTATTTACCAGCCCTTTCCCCTTGCTTTCCTCTAATCAGTTTTATATATGCTTAGATCCTTAAACTACTTTGTGCCTTCAGACACTTTCCCAGTAAATGTTTAAGATATGGAAAGGTCTTTTCCTCTCTCCTTGCTGGGAACTCTTAGAAGTACATTTGCACTTGTGCATGCGCAGTTGCACTCACACCATGTACATGCACAAATTACAGATTAAATATGCTTTGAGAGAAAATGCAATTGCTGTTCTGGCCTTTAGTCTTAAACAGGGGCAAATGGTGCTTGAATATAGAACTGTCCCTCTTTATTGGTGTTTCCCTGAACTGGTGCACAATAGTAGACTTTTTTAATAGTATATTGTCAGCATTGCCTTTATGAAGAAGAGGTTGATTTGGTAAATAGTAATTTTTAAAGTCTAGATGCTGCAGATACAGTTAATGAGAACTGCTGTTGGTTTTTAGCGTGCATTGTTATTAATGCTCAACAATTATTATTTTCTGGCAGATACACAGAATGAAAAGGAACGTGTGAGGAAGTACAGAGCTTTTATTCGGAGTCTTCCACCAGTCAATAGAGCAACTTTGGCTGCTTTAATTGAACATCTTTACAGGTCATTGCAAATAAAGCATTGTAGCAGAGAAGTTATTATAATGTGTTCCCAGTATAACTCTACAATATATGAAATGTGGCTTGCTTCATTCACCAGTAGTCACAAAAGCTTATTTAATTGCAGCAATTAATTGCATTTGAATTCCTTTAATTGATAATGTGTTTTTTCTTTGGTTGTATTTTTTAGCTGTAGGTATCTATAAAAATGAATGGATTTGAACAGCCTTACAGGGAGAGAGGGCTGCCAGTGTATGTGTCCAAGTAGGGTAATTTTTGATGTAGCTTCTTTATGCAATTTCATTTTACTCCAGTCTGCTAGTCTTCCAGAGGATTGTTGCAAATGGCTCTTGAAATTAAAATATTTTTTTCAGTGAAAATGTCCTTCTTCACAATCTGTTTTGCACATAATAGCTTTGAGAATTTCCTACCCTTCCTGTTTTTAATCAGTGCTTCATTTTACAACTGAGGTAGCGGTAGAGAATATCCAAAATACAAACTTGCTTAAGCACCAAAGGTCATGACTTATTCTTAGATCAAATAAGTGGCAGAAAATTTGTAAAAAATATCTGACAGGATGATTCTGAGGTGCCAAGGTTAAATAGTACTGGTCTATGTTATATCATCTGTTGAACAAGTCAAATTATAATTTTGGTGAACTGCAGTGAGTATAGAATGTGTAGAAACTTCTCTTAACAGGATGTTGTGTTCAGAAATTATGTTACATAGCCAGGTACATAGCCAATGTCATTTAAAAATATTTATGTGATTATTAAATTGATTGGTGCCATTATTTGGATAAAGATTATGCTACAAATTGTGTTTAAGAAGTTTCTAAGCATGTCCAGTTAGATATATTAATATGATGTTGCATCTGTTCTGAAAATAGTGTGAATTCATGCATTTAATGGCCAAAATTCTGTGGTAGATTCAAGTGTTTGCCTCTAAAAAAGGACATGTTAGGTGCACAACAGAACTGATATGAAAACTTTACCATAGGGATAGGAACGTAATTTCTTTCCACATTTTGTTTGATCTTTGATCTCAAGTTTGTAGGATATACTTACATTACATAGTACAGTGAAACTGTATTTGGCATTGATTTGGCCTCACCTGGAGCACTGTGTGCAGTTCTGGGGTCTGCAGTTAAAGGATGTTAAGGTATTTGACTGCATCCAGAGGAGGGCAGCAATGCTGGTAGAAAGGGCTGGAAGGAATTGCCTATGGGGAGTGGCTGAGGACTCTGGGCTTTTCTGCTTCAGAGAAAAGGAGGCTGAGGGGTGACCTCATTGCTCTGTGCAGCTTCCGGAGGAGGGCAAGGGGAGAGGGAGGTGCTGATGTCTTCTCCCTGGTATCTGGTGGTAGGGTGCATGGAAGTGATTCAAAACTGCATCCAGAGAAGTACCAACTTGTCATTAGGAAGGATTTCCTACTAAAAGGGTGATCAAACATTGTAACAGGCTTTTTAGAGGGATGGTGGATGACCCAAGCCTGTCAGTGCAGTAGGACAGTGCCCGTAGCAACATGCTTTAGCTTTTGGTCAGCCCTTAAGCAATCCAGCAGTTGGACTAGATGATTGTTATAGGTCCCTTCTAACTCAGGTATTCTATTCTGGTTTTATTGTTGTCTCTTCTAAGTAGTTTTGATGTCACTTGAAATGCAGTTAGAAAGTTTTTATTTCTGTAATGAGAAATAAAGAGTATAAAACAATATTAAATAAGTAATAGTACATGTTTTCATTGCATTTAATGTAGTTACTTTTTTTGAAGTGCTCTCCATATTCTGTAAAGGAGCCTCAGACAATCAAAGGAGCAATGAAACTATCTAAATATGTTTATTTTTCCTTCAACAGGGTGCAGAAATGTTCTGAAATTAACCAAATGAACCCTCAGAATTTAGCCGTGGTGTTTTCCTCATGCTTATTTCAAACTAAAGGCCAAACTAGTGAAGAAGTCAATGTAATTGAAGATCTAATTAAAAATTATGTGCAACTTTTTCATGTACGTATCTTTATATGTATCCTAATGGCTCAGATGTTAGAGATTCAAAAATATGAAAATCTGCTTTAAAATGGTCTTCCTACTAGATCAACAATCTGAGGATTTACAGGGTTTTTGAATTCTAATTCAGTGGATGTTTTTCTTGTCCTGCTTTAAATTTTATTTCCCAGTTAGTTTAATCTATGTAGGAAAGATCATTTATGGGATGCTATGAGATACTGTTTTCTGAAATGATGCTCATTCTCCTTGCTGTCAAAAACTTACTAAATTTAGGAAAATTTTATTATTATGACTATTGAAAATAGTGCTTCTAATGAAATGTTATAGGCCTGATCAGAAGTGAAGCATAGAACCATTTTGTGTTTTTAGTCTCTGAGCTGTGATTACAATTTGTTTTGTTCCTTAGACCCAGAAAAAAAATTAAATCCAATTGGATAGAAAAGCTACTACTAGTGGCAGTTCATATTAGCCATTTTGATTTGGAGTTGATTCTGCCACTATAACATTGTTTTGCAGTTTTTCATTGATTCCTCTCTGTTTCAATATGTATTCCATTAATTTTATAATAATGAGTCTCATCAATGAAGAGCTGTTTCTGACTGATAGAATATTTTGCATACCTGCTTCTATGAAAACGTGAGTGGCAGTATTGGCAATTGTTACCATAACTATTTTTAATCACTCCATAATTGCTTATTTATACAGATAAATGAAGACCAAGTCAAACAAATGGACATTGAGAACAGTTTTATTACAAAATGGAAAGACACTCAGGTAGGTGTCCAGTTAGACATGGATAAAAGGGAGTGAGGCCTTAACGCCTCTGTACCTAGGTGTGGGTGCTCTTCTGTTTATCACTGAGACAGCATCACTCCAGGCACTGCACAGTCATGCTTGCCTGCTAAGTCATGCTTGAGCCAGGTGCGAGATAAAGTGGCTCAGCTCACCTTATTGCTCTCCTCATCAGTTCTCCACAGCAGTTTGCCACAGGCTTCCAGTTAGGGTTGAAACTAATCATGTGGTGTGATGGAGTGGTGTAACAGCAGTGCTGTAATCATGTAGGCACCATGGGTAATTGGCAACTTAGGCCTCAAGCAGCTACAATTAAGAATAGTAAGAATTCTTTACATTTAACAGCTGACAGTCTGACATCATTGCATCAAAATGTGGGCATATATGTGGGAAAATCAGTGATGTAGATACTTAATACTTTGGAATATACAGGTTGCCACAGTACTATTATCTCTGGTTATGGAGAATGTTCAGAGAACAACTGAACTGAATTTCTGCTGAATTACTCAAAGTTCACATGTCTGAAATGTCAGTGAAGTTCTGTTCCAGGTGGCACTTCATTAGTCGCTTTTCATTTTCTGTCCACCATATACTTATGCCAGCTGTTGCAGTAATTTACATCACATTTTCTCTGCATACGGTTGTTTATGTGAGCCCAGTGGAAATCATGTGTCAGCTTCATTCTTATTTCCAACCTTTTTCTGTAATATCATCTGAAAAGCAAATTTTATAACTAAATGGGCCTTTTTGAGTCTGTGCCACTATAATTAAGCAGCTTTCTTCAAAGTAGCTTTGTAATGCTTTTCCTCACAAATGTTTCCATTAGTTTTCTATTCTCAAAGACTAAACTAACTTAAAAGTTGCTGTTTTTCAGAATGTGAATGTTCTTTAAAATTCAGCACTGCCAGTTATTTTTCTATAGAAATGTAATCTTAGCTTCTGTAAATTGGTCAAAATGTATCCCAAAGCTCAACTGTTTATTTATATATATATATATATGTATGTATGTGTGTGTGTGAATATATATATGTTTCTATATATTTTTATTAACCTTTTCCTCTGTTGGTAGTAGTATATAAATAAGTAGCATCACTATCAATACCATTCTCAAAAATGAAGACACAAATTCTTATCTTAGTGTTGATTATTAAATTCTTTAAATTTGCCTATTAATAGAATGGTGCATCTTCTGGTGAGTCCCTGTTTCTGCCCTAATTATTTGTCCTATGCTCTGATCATCACTTATTTTTAGGAAATATTTTTTGATACTGGACTGAGATGAATTGCAATCTTTTGAAGATGCTTATGACTATACTAAAAGGGAATTAGAGCAGGCAAAATGTGAGACATTTTTAACTTTAGAAAAATAAAGTAATTTCTCATCCATGAAAATAATTTTATTGCCATAGATGAGCAAACCTAGTTACAATGGAAAGTGTTACATCCCTTCTTATAAATCATACTTTTTGTCATGATCATAAAATGTTAGATTTACTGCCTTTCTAATTTCTTTCTGAGCTTTTTGTTGTTAGACATTCTTAAATAACATTTGTTAGTCTTGAGTATATGAAATTTATATATGTCATAAATTTGCTTTATCTGATAATTCCATATCAGCATTGTGTGCAAAGTCAAGCCTTTTCTCCAACAGACTTGAAGAGCTGTATTTAACAGAGGTTGATACCAAGAGCATTTGTTTTAATTCCTTCTTTAATTATGTAATGACAAGTTTTCATTGTGATTAAGAATCATAAATACAGTATTTGTAGTAATGAATTTTTATTTTCTTGGTATGTACATGTGGCTGAAATAGTCTGTTATTTGTAATTTTTCATCTCACTTTTAACTAAGTAATTTTGGGGCTACAGTCCTTTTTCATTGTTTTAAATTCTATTAATCTGTTTTGATTCTGAAGTGAACCTTACTGACCTCCAAATCAGAGTTATGGGTCTGGCAATATAAGATACTGAGACACACTCATGTCTTAGACTTTGTAGTTCTAAATGTAAATTTAAAATTTCCACTTATGCCATGTCGCCCTTAGTTTTCCTGCTCTTGAATGTATATTTGTAAGTTCATGTTAATTTTGTTTGATACGATTCTGTTGGATTTATTCAGGATTTGGATTTTTCTCCTGAATCTGTGATTCGGTATTTTTTTTCCTTACACTAGTTAAATAATTGTAGTTTCCTTACTTAAAATGTTAATTTTTAACAGTCAAATTTTTAATTTATTTCTTTTTAGGTTTCCCAGGCTGGAGATTTGCTTATTGAAGTTTATGTGGAAAGAAAGGAGCCAGACTGCAGTATTATAATCAGGGTTAGTGTATAAAAATGATACAGTGACTTTTATGAGGCATGTTTTTTTGAAGTATATCACATTTATTTTAATACATGTTTTTATATAAGTACACAATGAAAGTATGAATTTATTTTTATCACTGTTCTTTTAAATATTTTGGTTTAGAATTTGCTGTGTTGCCTAAATGATATAAAGACTGATTATTTTGCATTTTTGCATCTTTGAGAAAAATTTTAAGAAAAATGATACCATTTTAAAGTGGAGATGTTCTGCTTTAGTTTTGCTGTAGTATGCAACAGTGTAAATTCTCCCAATTGTACATGTGCAACACATGACAGCATTAATAAGTACACAATGAACGTTGGTTTTACTTTATCATTACGGCCATTAAAATAACATTCCTCCTTTCTTTTTGTCTGTGGCTTTCTTCTTTCTTTGAGTGTTAGGAAACTAAAGCTTGTTACTAACTATAATAGAGATTTTTGAGCTTTCTATTTAATAGTGTATTTAAACATCTGCATCGCCATGTAGTAGTGTTCTGTTATTTTTTATTCATTTCTGGTTTTGTTTCCTTTTTGTTCTGTTCAGCATATGACTCTCAAACGCATATATGGGGTATGTGGTATGCATAGATGCACATATGCACATATGAAATGCTTTTTACAATAGGAATAAAAACAGGAATATGCATTGCTAAGATTAAAGAAATGGTGTTTCTCTAATATTTGTCTTCCCACACCCAGGAAAATATATCAAAGCTATTTTTTTATTTTTTTCCAAATTTTTCTGGGGTAGAGAAAATAAATTTAAAGTTACCAAGTTAAGAGTTGTCTTTAAAATATAATTTCAGTCTTATGGAACAAAATAAGGAAAACCTGGTGGAATCTGATGAATATTTTATGCATTTCCAGCTCATATATATTCACTGTCTTTTTTTTTGTTGGGTTTTTTTTTTTTTTTTTTTTTTTTTTTTTTTTTTTTTTTTTCTTCCCTTAGGGCAGTTACAGGGAGGAAGACTGAAAAAATATATCAGAAATCAGTAATTGAAATGTATTATAAACTGACTCAATTTGTATTACAGGTATCACCTTTGATGGAAGCAGAGGAATTAACTAATGATGTTTTAGGAATCAAAAACATTATTCCCAGCAAAGATGATATCTGGGCTGCTTTTGAAGTACTTGAAAATGGAGAATTAGGTTAGTGGCACTTAAATGTATGTGTGTCAATCAGCTTTTATTATTTTAGTTTTTCACTACTTAATATCATCAAGAGTTTAGTTAAAGACTTCATGGAAACAAACAAAAAATAGCCTTCATGTGCCAATGTTTTACTTTTGGTTGTTGTGGCATCTGCATGATTTCTTTCTTCACTTTGCCAGAAATGAGGTGATAAATTGTTTGAAACTGCTTATAAATTAAGGCCTGAGAAAGTGTTCTTTATATTACTTTGCAGTTCATTAATCATCAGCTTTAGAAAAGTAGGTCTTACCAATAAGTCGTAGAGGAAAACCCTATTTTCATAGGAATGTCAGCACTTGATTTTTATAAGCAATAATGCTTTCAAAAAAATTAAATGAGAAAATATATGTCATACTTAGGAGAAAGTATCTTTTCTATTTTGCTTGTTCAAATATTTAATGTAGGTAGGTGAAAAAGGAGGCATAAATTATGTAACTCTTTACATACTTTAAAGCGTGTTTTTGGCAAGTGACATTGTGGTGTATCTAGCAGAATCTTGAAAAATTTGTTTGAAATATGGTTCTGCTGCCAGCAAAAGCAAATGTCACATGGCCACAATATTCATGAATGGTAAAGAGGCTTTAACGTTTGGAATACTTTATACATGCTGGAGCATGTTTAAAATGCTGGAGAATTTTATTGTTAGAGATAACTGAAATAATGTAAAGTAGTAGGGGTTTTGTTAATTAAAACATATTTTGAGGAATATTCCATAAGGTAATCTTAGGGAATTTTTGAAGAATATATGGAGACAGAAATATGCAACATCTATTTTCATTTCCTAGTAAATTGCTGATCTTAACTACTTTCATGTTACAGAGGAGGACTGTGAACTTGTTTATTTCTGTAATGAAGATACCTGTTTTCAAGTCAATAAAAAAAAAATTAAGAAAGTGGACAAAATAAGATTACTAAATATTGTTCTAATATTTTTTATTAGTTTTGTTGTACTTGATTTTCAGATGTGCTTACAATAGTTCTTTCAGTTTGACTAATATTACTTATATCCTCAGTCTTGAGCCTGGCCCTATAAAAACTAGGATGGAAGTGTATTCTCCCTTTCAACTGAAAATCAATTATCCTGAGCCCTCTTCACATCTTACAGTCTGCTGGTGGTGCTGTATAGAGATGTAATACAGAGTTAATTTCCAGATTCATAGATGTGGGTGACAACTGATAAAGAATCTCTTATCTTTAGAAGAGTCCTGATAATTCCTACAAGTGCAATACAAAACATATTTCCTTACAATAAATAATGGAAAAAAATTTGAATTTTATTTTCTTAATCTTGATATATGACACAGGAACATGAAAAGAAAATAGATATGGCCAAGAGAACATAAAAGTAAATAAACAGATAGACCCCACTACAGTTTCTTCAGGTATTTAGGTGCAACAACTAAGGTTTTAGTGGAGCATTGAAATGTTGTTTGAACTAATGACTGTGGAAGACAAACAAAATTAAGCTAAGAGTGAGATACTAGAGGCCCTAGAAAACACAATAAATATGGACAGTACATTAGAGCATATCCTACTGAAAGAGTTTCCAATGCAAAGTGAAATGGCACACCAGTGTTTTAAATCCAAAACAACCCACCAAAAAGCAAACTAAATCAAGTCCTAATTCATCACCTGACTTCTGTCAGTAGAGGGTGTGTTGACAAAATGTGTTCTTCATGGATCCCTTTCTGGAAGAATCAGTGCGCCAGAAAAGTGAACTACTGTTTCAAAATAAAAATAATGTTGTAGTAAAAAGACACTCAGGTAGACTCCTGTGATCCTATGGCTGAACCTGACAGAGGGCATGAACACAGAAAATTACTTCTAGAAAATATTTGGCCAACATGTCACACTAAAGAACTAAAAGACTACTTGAGTCTTTGCTCCTGCAAGTTGATTCTACTAGTGTCATTTGACAAACACCCTGCGGCATTTACAAATTAGTTGAGATAGTGACACATAATGACAGAAAAAGTATGCATATTTGTTTCAAATGTACATCAGTAATCATGGTGTCTTTCTGATAAAAATTAATTTTATGCATTTTTTCCTGGTGCGGTCTGCTGCCTGTCCAGTGCGTGATGGTATTCTGCTTGTTATACTCAATCCTGAATTTTTTTTTACTTTTTTTTTATTTTACTTTTTATTATATACTGTCAGGAAAACGAAAAACCCTGAGAAAGTAAGAAAATTAGAATCATATTTTATAGAAAGTCAGTTTCTACTAATAGTTAATGTTGTTTAAGGTGAGAATGACTGGTTTAGAATATTGACTAGCATATGATGACCTAAGTGAAAGAAAGGGTAATTGAATGTATGTGTTGACTGCTTGCTGTTCAAAATACTAGAATTGCAATATTAAAAAATCAGCTAAATTATTTGCATATAGAAAACTTGCATTAATTGATGATTTTACAAGCTTAATGCAAAATATTAAATACCATATGCTTTTACAAAATAGGGTGTATATAGTTTTTTAAATAATAAGTGATTGATGGATAGTTTATAAATGAAGTGTGTTACCAGTAGAATAGCTAATGGTTTTTCAGCATGATGATTTATGTGCCATGTAATCCGTGATGACAGATGGTCTTATATTTAACTATAAATAAAACAGTAGATGTTTACTCTGGGAGTGCTGGTGTTCTAGGAAGATGTGGTGATTTGCCAGTCTCTTGCTTCTGATTTGTAAAGTTCTTCTCCTTAAAGTGGATTTTCTCCCTTGTACAAAGGCATCAAGTGTTTAAACTTTATCACGTCAGAGTCCAAAGTTTCCCAAAAATTCAGAAGTTTGATCATTTAAAACAAAAGGGCAGAAGAAGTAGTGTTAATAAAGTGAGGGTTGAGCTGCTATCTGCAGAATGGTATTCTTGTTAGGCTGCTTTGGTGTCATGTCTGAATAAAGAAATCTTTATATGGGTGGTATCATATCTCTACAGGTAGTGTAGGTATTTTTGCATCCCAAAACAGCAGTGGTTTTTTCTGTCATGTAAGTGTGTTATTTGTGGCTGCTGCTTTCTGAGGCTCTAGTGTTCAGGTGTTCTGGAAAATGCCTTCTGCTAGACTGTAGTGCTGGAGAGTCCCAAAGCAGCTGTTGACATTTCATATTCATCTACCATAGCAGGAATGAAAAATGAGATTATGGCTGCATACTTTGCCCTTCAGTACTCAGGGGACATGGCTAGACTGTGTGACCCAACATGACAGTGTCATAGAGGTGTGACTTTTCAGGAGCCATACCCAGCTCTTCTCAAGACCTGACCCACATAGATTGGTATGCAAATGGGAACACAGATATATTGGAAAAATCTCTCTTTGGAGATAAAATGACATTTGAACCCGCAAAGCCATTGTTAAGGCTTTTGTGAGTTCATGAATTACAGCACTCACATCAGTGTTGCATCAGGCTGTGCTGTTCATGTGACACTCAGATTTCTGCTGGATCTGGTAATGCAGATTTAGGGATGATTTGCAAGATCTTTTCTGCCTTCATTTGGTAAGTGAACTGGGGTTTGTATGGAGTACTGGCTGGGCTCTCTTATCACTGCAGTTTTTTAGTTCTCTGCTAGGTCTCAGAGTTTCTCTTCTAGGATGGATGATGCCTATGTGTGTTTAAGCATCTGAAGTTTTGCAGTGCACACATACAGTCTAGTCATGCCTTCAGTGATAGTTTAATCTTGCTGCACTTTTTGTACAAGACTGAAATACACAGGTCCAAGTTTGGATATTCCCTAGCCACTGCAACTGGGAGAAGATCTAGTAAGACCACATGCTTTTCCCCCCCAGTAAAAAGAATCTAATGAAACCAGGAGTCTGTTTCAGTCTGCTTTGATCAATAACAGACAGTATAATCCATTCCAGTTGGAGGCATTTTTTTTCACTGTGATCACTCCAAATTCTTTGGTTCTTTGAATGCAGAGAATAGGTAGCTATGATATTTCATTTTCATACTGAGCATAGGCCAATAAGGCACAGTATAGCTGAAGGTCTCAGTTCTGTTTGATCATACTGTAATTGGTCCTAAACTTTTGTATTTTAGTTTGAAAGCAGTACTTTTGTGTCTTTACATTAAAAATTTAACATTACAAAAGAGTCACTGCACATTTGGCTACTGTTTGTTTAGTTTTATATTCAGTACCTGTGCAAACACTGCCAGCAAAGGTATTGTCAGTGAAGTGCCTAATTGTCTTATTTTGAAAGCAGCATTTCTCTTCTATAGTTCAAAGTCAATGAGACCTTGTTGTTTACAGGCAGTTGTAACTTGTGAGGGCCTCCAATATTGTTAGGTTTTCTCTTTTATTTTAATTCTAGTTTTTTGTGTTTTGTTTCTTTGGCATTTTTCAGAACGTCCTCTGCATTATACCGAGAATGTACTAGAACAGGTTCTTCACTGGAGTTCACTACCAGAGCCTGGCACTGCATATCTAATAATAAAGAGGTTTCTAACAGCAGACATGGTGAATCTCTACAGTGGTATGTAATTTTTTAAAATGTAGTTATTTTGCATGGAAATATGATGATGGCAATTGTTTTCAGTGGAGCAAAGTGTCCCAGAACAACTGAATTACTGCTACTTCATAAAAATTACAGATTTACAGAGGGTTGTGGTGATTCCCTATGGAAACACTGAGATATGGATGTTTGTTTCTACAAACTATACGCTCTCCCATTGAAATATAAAAGTGTACAGAAATTCTGCAGGCACTTAACACTTAGTGAACTTCTGCTGAGAAGCTTGAAACTGCTCTTATCTAGGTCATATTGTGGGAATATATTTATATAACTATGGTTTGCTAATAGAAATTTCTATTATCTAATTTGATGCCTCCAAACTACAAAACTAATTTCATGGAATCATGGAATATTCTGAGTTAGAAGGAGCCCAGAAGGATCAGCAAATTCCAGCTCCTTGCCTTACACAGTACAGCCCCAGGAGTAACACCTGTGCCTGAGAGCATTGTCCAAACACTTCTTGAACTCTCAGGCTGGTACTGTGACCACTTCCCTGGGGAGCCTTTTCCAGTGCCCAACCACTCTCTGGGGGAAGCTTTCCTGATACCCAGCCTGAGCTTCCCTTATAGAACTTCAAACCATTCTGTTATCCTGACACTGGTCACCACAGAGAAGAGATCGGTGTCTGGCCCTGTGCTTCCCCTCACAAGGGAGTTTTTGACAGCGATGTGTTCTCCCCTCAGTCTCCTTCAGGCTGAACAGACCAAGCGACCTAAGCCACTCTCTATACTTGAGTGCTTCCCCTCAAGGCCCTTCACCGCCTTTGTTGCCCTCCTTTGGACACTCCCTAATAGCTTTATAGCCTTCTTATATTGTAGTGCCCAAAACTGCCCCCAGCACTCAAGGTGAGGCTGCCCCAGTGAAGAGCAGGGCAGGACAGTCCCCTCCCTTGCCCAGCTGAAGATGCAGCGAATGATGCACCCCAGGATAGGGTTGGCCCACCTTGCTGTTGACTCGCATTCAACTTTCTGTTGACCGGGACCCCCAGGTCCCTTTCCATGGCACTGCTTTCCAACATCTCATTCCCCAGTCTGTCCAGAGGCATCCAGGGTTGCCCCATCCCAGGTGACGTACTTGAACTCAAGCAGCTGAATAATTTGGAGAGTATGTGGTGCTAATAACAGCAAGGTTGTGGGTTTGATCCCTGTATAGGGCATTCACCCAAGAGTTGGATTCTGTGATCCTGGTGGATCCCTCCCAACTCAGACTATTCTGTGATTCTATGATCCAGACCTTACTCTGAGGTCTTGATGTATGTTTTCTCTTGTTTAGAAACCAACTTTTCAAGGAAAAAATAGTTAGTTTATTTGTACTGATATGTTTCAGCAAATTTGTGGTGAGTTTTCTACTTTATTACAGTTTTTAGTTGCTAGTTTCTGACAATTAATTCCAGAGCTTTTCATGTTTGTTGTAGATGCACTCTTTCAAGTGCTACTCGGTAGGGCAAGATGTGCACTGTATTTTGGTATAAGAGCTATTCAGGACAGCTTAATTATATTTCAAGACCCATTTTCTTTTCCTTATCAAAAATTTTCTCATATTAAAGTTTTATTTGTTGGAAAACTAGATATTACTTATTTGTTAAATTTACTATAAATTCTGTGTGTGCAAGTCCTTGATTTTTTTCCAGTACAGTGTTGTATAATTTGAGTGGTAAGTATTGATTTCTGAGAACAGGGGCTATTATTCAGAGATATTCTTTGAAATGCAAGCTTCTAAACCATAGGTGGATCGATCCTCCATGGATTAAGTGTACCTACTTCCTAGCTGCCAAGTTCTAGCAAGTTTAGCATGTTTTGTAAAGTTTGTGTCTGAAAAATACGTTCTGATTAGGACACATCCCTGTTGTCTTAGGTTTATTTAATGAAATGCAGGCTTCTGAAGTACATGGAATATCATCAGTTTAGAGAATTATTTTTTTCCTCCTTCAGGCTATTCTAATATCTTTGTAAGTATCAAGCATTTGACAGATTTGCTGCCGTAGGAGTGCTGTGAAGTTTAGAATGAGTTTTTGTCAGGCTGTGCGTTGTGTGCAGAAATGTAAAATCTTCCAGCTTGGTACAGATGTGGAAGTATCCTGCTACTCTCATTTTGTATAGTTTAAAAAAAAAAAGAAAAAAAATGGAAAAAAGTGGTTATGATTGTGTGGATAAGGATCCATATTCTATTCTGAACATGAAATACATATTCTTTTTGGCAAAGAGAGAATCAGGTTTTGTTAACTGTGCATGTATATTTGCACTTATAACTGAGGACTTCTAAGTAATTTCTGATTTTAATTGTTGAAATGTTGAAATGTATTGATTCTGGATTTAGATTTTTTTTTAATATATATTTTATCATGTACTGCTTCTTAATAATAGAGTTTGATATCAGATGCTCAAAGTCTAAGTGGAATTTTAATGAAAAAAGCCAATTGAGTCCTTTGGTAAGAATGATATTTTCTATACACATTACACCCCTTTTACATCACAGTTTTATTTCTTATCCTGAAAGTAATATAGTACAAAAGCTAGTGGTATCATTCTGTGACTCCTAAAAGGAGTTGGTTCAGTGTTTCCTAAATGAATTAATGACTTATTGGAGGTACCTACAATTAGCTAAAAATAATAGGTGGTGAAAACCAATATATGGCATAAGTAGTAGGCTTGTAGTGTTTGGGAGTAATTATTAGCCCTGTTAATCTGGCTCCCTCTTCAAGGTGAAATGAATTGAGTGGAATGGAGAAGGCTACATCTGCCTACCTGCTCTCTTCTCATGCCTGCAGTCTGCTTCCAACACTGTTTACCTCAGGGAGAAAAGAATACTTCAGAATTCTGCTGAATTCTGTGTTCTGTCATTAAGACAGTAGGAATTATTGTCTTTTCCTTTGCTTTTCCTCACTTTAACTATTAAAGTGCCATTTTAGTTTGAGTTTCACTGTATGTGCATGACTTGTAGCAGCATGGCAATGACTGTAATTATTGTCCAGAAGTTTTTGCAGGGAAAGGGTACTTACTGGGAAAAGATGACAAAGTAGTGGAAAAATACGTCATGGATACTGAGCAGAATGAGAAACCTGAAAATACCTAGAAGTGGTGGTGCAGTAGTCATGTCATACTCTTGCTTTTAACTACACGTTATAAGCTGAAAACATTCTTTGAATTGAAATTTTTTGGTAGATTCTTTGCATGTTATCATACAAGTGAAATGGAGAAGACTTTTTTCCAGTAATTAAAATTATAATGGTATGTGTATTTAAGAATGCCTTCCTTATGAATATAGAATATATTAATATGCAGTATGTATTGAAATGTAATATATAGTGTATATATGTGTGTGTATTTATATAATATAATTAATAGAATTATTTTTATATATAGCATAATACCGAATCAATTTGACTAATGTAATTTTAGTATTTTGATATGCAGTAATACTTAAAAATGAGGAGCTTCCACTGTTGTAAAATCTTCTAACAAAATGCTTTTCTTTATCTTGTTAGAGAAAAATGAGAAAGGTAGCGTGAAAGCAGGCAATCTGAAGTACAAGGAAGAACCATCAAAACTACTGTCAGGAAACAAATTTCAAGACCGTTATTTTGTGTTACAGGAAGGAAACTTGCTTCTGTATAAGGATATGAAGGTACAGCCGACAAACTCTCCAACAAACTTTGCATTAAGCTTTCTTTTTTGTTTGAAAAAGAAAAGATTAACAAATAGATAAACATTTCTCATATGAAATGGCAACTTCTAGAATCTGGGATTGACTGTGATTTTTGTCTTGCTGTTTCACAGGTGTGTTAGTAGAAGGAATTTGTGTAGGTTTGTCATTTAGCTATTGTAGTTATACATTACTCTAAGCTTTAAAAATTAAAAATAGAACAATGTTTGGGTACTTTGTGCTGACATTAAATTATTTGAAATCCTGCTGTAGAAAGCTGCAGCAGAAGTAATATGGAGTGCATGCCATTTTTTTCTTTGGTATTTCACACAAAGCCCTTAAAAATTCAAACAGGGTTCTTATACATACTTCTCTCATGATAGAAGAGATTATAGGAAACAGCAACTCTCAATACACTAGGAAAATATTTCCCTGCTTCCCAACAACGTTTTTCAGATGTATTTTCCATCCTCTAAAAACTAGTATGGATAATTAGGTTATATGCACCTCAGAATTCCACAGAAGTGAATTTAGTCATGTTTAATAGCAGGAAGGGTTCAGTTTTAAATATTTCATGGGAGTTTTCTTAAAACAGTGGGTTTGAGTGTATGCAACTTATATTTAAGTATAAAGCAAATAATATTAATAAAGAACTATGTTTCAGTTCCAATTATTTCTGGTTAAAAAAAAGTCAAGGTATCAAGTGCTTTTATATTTGCTGACTGCTGTTTTTCTCCCATCCAAAAAATATGGATGTATATTGCTGACCTTCCTAAAGTACTTTTTTAAGACATATCCCTTGCTCACATAAGCTAATGCACTGTGTCTTCTTGTGAAGCTGTAGATACAGTCTCAATTAGAATGACCCCAGAATGTTGCAAATAGTGTCTTACAGTCTAGTGCTAAAACTCAGATTGGCACATATGTGAGAATAAATTAATATGCCCATAAAACCTTAATTAGTATCTTGGAGAGAATTTAGGATAGGATTGTTTTACCACTTTATAATCTCCTCTTTTAAGCCATTCTAATTTATAAAAAATTGAATTCCCCAACCCAGGAGGCGTTTTGAACACTTACTTTTAAATTACTTTATTTTTTTTTTAAATGCAAATGGCAACACCATTCTGATCAAATAGTATATGAGTTTGTTTTACATTTTTTGAGAGATACTAATCTACCATGAATAATCTTGGTTTAATTTTAGTCATATTTCGGAATGACGAAAGCCTGACATTGCAGATGGAAAATTGTGGTTAATAAGGCCACATGTACTAATTAATTTATAAATTCTCATTAATAGCAAATTAACTTTGTATATGCAGGTGGAGATACATTCTGTTCAGTATTTTCTTTTCAAGAGCAATTATCAAAAACATTGAAAGTTTCCATGAATACTGTATGCTAAATTACTATATTGTGCTAATTGACTGAAATAATTTACCCCTTTAATGTTCTGTTGCTAAGAGATAAGCTCACAGACAAAGAAATGGCTCCCTTAATGTGCATTATTGTGAGAAGTATGCAGTTGTTTAACTTAATAGTATGTTCTGCAGGGGTATTTTTTCATCCTGACAGTACTCTTCTTGTGAGCAGGAAGTTACACAAGAATACCAACCATAAAACTGTTGTGTGTTTTGTTGTTTTCTTAAGTTCTCTTAAGTGTTTCTTTTTTTCCACACTGGAGTGTTAGAAATTGAAAGCTGCAGAATGGGAAATTGAGAATCCAGAGACAGTAAATACTAGGAGTAGCTTTGTGTACTGGGATTATAAGATTTGTTAAGTTGTTTGATGCAGTTTTTTCTACATTGAAAGCTAAAACACTTGACCCAAAAGTACTGAAGGAATGCTTTTGTATTGTGTTAAATACTAGTTTTTCTCTGTAACAGTGTGCATCTATTGTTTCCTTTCAGCACTTCATCTTCCAGTAACCTTCAGTTCTCATACCTGTGGGTCTGTGTCTTCTGTAGATTGACTAAAGGTAGTTTGTTCAAGAAGGAGCAAGCAAGGAACTCAGGAGATCCTTGTCCAGCTTCCTGTGCAGAGCAGGGATAGCAGCTGAGGTCAGGACATGTTGTGCGTGGCTTTAATTTGTTAAAGTCTTTGAAAACCCTGAGGACAGCACAGCCTTTCTGGGCAGCCTGTTGCAGTACCTGTCCTCATGGGGGAAAGTTTGTCTGTCCTTAGATGTAGTCTTCTGACAATATGAAAAGCCTCACTCGGTCTACTTTGAAATTTCACTGTAGGTGCTGGGGGGTTGCTGGTAGGTCAGCCTCTCCTCCAGGGCAAGTGCTCCAGCCCCCAGATGGTTTGGTGGGCCCCTGCTGAACCCTCTCCAGATTACTGATTCTCTTTTTTGTCTCAGTGATCCAAAAGATGCAGTCACACAAGTAATAAGGCAAGGGAGAGAATCACTCTCCTCCATCTACTACCTTTGCTTCTGCTAGCTCAGGAAAGCGAGACCATCTTTGCTCTTAGGACACTCTGCTGATTATGCCCATCTTGGCACCTACCAGCATGTCCAGTCCCTATCAGCAGAACTGCCTCCCACCCTCTGTCATTCAAAGAGTTTTTTCCTTCACCCATGCAAGAGTTTGTATATAACATTGTTAAATTGAGATTCCTGTTATTGCATTTCTTTGTTCTATATAGGTTCCTCTGAAAGTCCCAATACTGGTGTTCTCCAGAAAACAGGTGGACTCCTTCTGTCTCATTGGGCTGCCCTTCCTGAAGATAGGAGGAGGAACAAAGCCTTGCCCTCACCATCCCCTGTCCCATAAAAGTCAGGATATGTTATCCAGAGACTTCTGTGGGTTGTTTGAAGACATAATTTGCTTTTTTTTTTTTTTTTCATCCTGATTCAGTGGCCTCAGTGGCCTAATGGATGAAGCACTGTCTAAACCAGGGATTGTGGTTTGAGTCAGTCAGCACAGCTTCACCAGGGGCAAGTCCTGCCTGACCAACTTAGTGCCCTTCTATGATGAATTGACTATGTCAGTGGACAAGGGAAGAGTTGCAAGTGCCATTTATCTGAAATTCTCTAAGGCCTTTGACATAGTCCCTCACAATATTCTTTTCTTTAAATTGGAGAGAGATGGAATTGTTTGAGTGGGCTGTTAGATGGATAAGAAAGTGGTTGGATGGTCACATCCAGAGGGTAGTGATCAATGGCTCAGAGTCCTGATGGACATCAGTGGCATGTGGTGTCCTTACTGGGATTAGTGCTAATCCTTACTGGGATTAGTGCTACTTAATATCATTAGTGACACAGAAAGGAACATTGATTGCATCTTCAGCAAATTTGCAGATGACACCAAGCTGGGGGTATGGTTGATACACCTGAGGGACAGGATGCCATCCAGAAGGGCCCGGACAAGCATGAAAAGTAAGCCCATGGGAATCTCAGCAGCTTTAACATGATCAAGTGCAAGGTGTTGCACCTTGTTTGGGAAAACTCATGATATCAGCCCAGTCTGGGGGAAGAACAGATCCAGAGCAGCCCTGCCAAGGAGGACTTGGTGATGCTGGTGGGTGAGAGGCTGGACATGACCCAGCCATGGGCACTCCCAGCCCAGAGAGCCAAACATGTCCTGGGCTGCATCCAGAGCACCGTGGGCAGCAGGGCCATGGAGGTGATTCTGCCCCTCTGCTCTGCTCTGCTGAGACCCCACCTGCAGGGCTGCAGTAGCTCTGGGGTCCCAGCACAGGAAGGACATGGGCCTGTTAGAGCGAGTCCAAGGGAGGCTACCAGATCAATTAGAGGGGTGGAGCACCTTGTCTATGAAGGAAGGCTGAGAGAACTGGGTTTGGACAGCCTGGAAAAGAGACCTACTTGTGGCCTTTTAGCACCTGAAAGGAGCTTAGAAGAAAGATGGAAATGGATGTTTTAGAAGAGTGTAATGCAGCAGAGCAACAGGGAATGCCTTCAAACTGAGAGTAGGTTTAGATTGAGTATTAGGAAAAATTCTTTACTGTGAGGGTGGTGAGGTCCTGGAACAGGTTACCCAGAAAAGCTGGGTGTGCCCTATCACTGGAAGTGTTCAAGGTCAGGCTAGAGAGGGCTCCGAGCAATCTGGTCTAGTAAAAGATGTTCCTGTTCATGGGAGGGGCGTTGGAACTAGATAGTCTTTAAAGTCTCTTCCAACCCAGCCCATTCTCTGATCTGAAGAAAATTCTCACGATTCCATAGATGAGGCTATTTAACAGAGGGCAATCCCATTTCCCATCTTCCTGTCTCTTGAAGAGTTTGTGTTCATATATAGCACCACATCTTCATTATTCTGATTGTGTTACAGTTTTATGATTTCATGTGAACCTTAAGTTCTTAATCAGTCTGCTTCCAATAATAGTGACTGATACACTTTGTCAATGGCAAAGGAAGAGAGAAAATACTTTAATGATTTGCTAGAAAAGAGGGGTACACTCCATGAAAGAAACTGAATTGTGAAATCAGTCATGTGGCGTTTTCTCTTTGGCATATTCCTGATACAATAATTAGAATCCTACTTTATTTGCAGGCTAGCAAACCTGAAAAAGTGTTGCCTGTCAGTTCTCTGAAGCTTTATCTTGGAGTGAAAAAGAAAATGAAGCCACCAACAAAGTAAGAATAGAAAAGAAAACAAACACTGTGTAAAAGGTATTGTAGTATCATCAGTAAAGGGTAGCATAGAACATTGTGGAACAAGGAAAAATCAAGAAGCCTATAGCAGTATGCTGAATTAAATTATCCCCTGTAATATTATTTGTTCTGTTCCTATATTTGTTTTCATGTTCCATGTTAACTAATCTGTGCTAGTAAATTACTTTATTGATTGGCTCTTCGTAATCTAAAGTGCGTTTGTTATCTCTTGTGGATATGGTCGCTCCTGGCTCACTTAGTTTTTTGGTATATGTCCTGCATGTCATTGGTGGACACATTTTCCTTGCACCAAGTAAAAAGAGAGATGAGAAAACCAGCTAGTCATGGCCCTTACTGGCAGTTCCTGTTGTTCAGCAGAGGATTTTCTTTTTTCAGGATCTTTGTTATTTTGATGTTTCTGCTAGCTGAAGACTACAGTGCCCTTTACAAACATCAGTGACTATCTCTCAGGAAAAGAGCAGTGAAAAATGACACCTGTTTTTCTCAGATGTTTCCAGTTCTTGTTCGGTCAAAGCTTTGAGATACTGAGACAATGCACATAGGATCTTATCCCAGAGGGAGTCTAGGTTGCCTGTAGCCTTTAAACAGATCTGCCTGAACTTTTCCTTTGCAGTTGGCAAATCAAAACTCTCCAAAAAGGTCTATGAATTTCAAAGCTTAACCACGTTAAAGAAAATGTTGGTGTTTTTTTTGTGTGTGTGTGTTTTTTTTTTTTTTTTTTAAATTCAAGTGCAGAATGACTAGGAGATTAGTCCAAAATAGGAGTAAAAAGATTATGTAAATTTGTCTTTACAGGTTTTTTTACCTTGAGGTTTATTTTTAGTCTACTTTCAAGAGAAGAGTTTTGACCAAGTCTCTTCTGGATCTCCAGAAGTGTCTGTTTCACCTCAGAGGCTTCATTGTGCACCCACTCCCTTTTCATTTCCCTAGTAATTATTAAATCCCTATAAAATCATATGATTCCTTTTGTTTATAGTACTAGCATAGCTCTTCTCTCTCTGACTTCCACACTGTAGTGGACTCTTTACCAGACAGTTTTATATCCAGCTCCTTTTTGAAAGCACATCCACAGCAAAAATGCAGCAACTAGTCAGCTGTCATCTGCAGTGCTTTGCTATAACCCTTTGTCTAGAACAGAAGGTTCATTAAATATGAATCAGTTGTAAAAAATTAGCAAAATTCATCCTCAAACCCACAAATTTATTCTGGATTTAGACTTCACAATTTTTTTTTTTTTCAAATTATAAGGACTATATACAGGTAATTAATCTCTGCAGTTTGAGGAATATGTCCTTGTTTATGGAACTAATTTTTGAAAATCTTACTTCTTTCAGCTGGGGACTTGCAGTATTTTCTGAAAAATACCAGTGGTAGGTAAACATGAAACGCACACTTGGTTTGACTTCACTGTCTAATATTTGTTGAAATATTCAATTGCAAAGTAAGAGTGTTTGAAAACTAATGGGCATTATTTTGCTTTCAGGGTGAATTTTATTTTTGTTTTTTTAAGTAAAGAAGCTTTCTTAATTGATATGTTCAGTTCATCTTTTGGGTTTAGGTGTCTGGCTTCCTTCTATGACCAGAGAGCAAATAATAGTCATAAAGTTAGAATGATAGATTTTAATCCTGTGCACATTCTTAAAATGAAGCACAGGCATTGTCTTCAAAGTAGGTAAAGTGATAATTCAAAGTATTTATATATGCCTATTTTTTCTGGGAGTGTTAATAATAAATATAGATAGCATGAATGAATTTAAGCACTATTTGATGTAGTTTAGAAGCTTATTATTTAATATGTGTGGCTGTAACAGGCCTCTCCATTGTTTTTAATATTAATTATGTATTGTGTTTTAGGTATATGTGTTGTGATGGACAAGATGTGCAGATGGAGTGGATGATCAGCATTTTTATGGCACAGGTACTAATCTGATCAGAAAATGTAATTTAGTCTGCTGTTATAACAATCCCATTAAATATGTATGTGTTATATATAAGGTTCAGTGCCAAAGTTTCTGAAAAGTTTCTAATAAAAGTGCCAAAAGATGTGTCTTAGTCCATGAAGACTATGACTGCTCTGAGAGTGTGTGAGAACATTAGATTCTGACATCATCTCCCCATCCCACCCCACTGTGTTGTAGACAAGCTTGGTAAAGAAGGACCATTATTTCCTTTCTAGAAAGCTCTTGTGGGTTAAATTTTGGCCGTTGACCTAAAAATTGTGTCTGTGTGCCACAATACCCAAGTGCTATTTCTTTGCTCACTAGTTTGGATGCTGCTAAAGTAGTCATGAAAGAAGGGTTTAATGTTTAAAAGCATAGTGGTGTGAACTAGCCCAATTGAAGAGCTGTGCCAGTATGGCTTTATTTCTCTGGTATCCAGGCTTGTTGCATTAACACTGACAATTCATTGTGCTGGTTAGGCTTTATCCTAAATTAAGTACTCTTCTGCTTGCTATGAGATTGTAAGGAGGATATAGGTTTGAGTGACATACAACACATCCTTGGAAATGGAGTTTAATGTTTGCATTGGAGAAGTGGAAGTAAGCGAGGTGGGAAGAATTTACCCTGACATCAGACTGGAACGCAGTTTAAGGTTTTAACAGGATTTTGTGTCTGTGTCAGATTTTTCTTTTTCCCATGATGTTCAAGGAGCTTTGCAGGATATCACTGTGAATAAACATTGCTAGATTTATGATTACCTGGGAGCTTTGTGTTGCATAAAGTAGGCTGAGCACAAGACTGTTGAAATACAGACTTAGCAACTTTCTAAAACAGAATCTGACTTTCATAGATAGTAGTGCTAGAAGTATAATGCATGCCTTGAAAGTAAGACTTCCAAATTCTTGTGTTATTGAGCTCCCTTAACTGAAATGACAGTTGTTGTTTCTATGGAAACAGCTGGCGTACATCTCATGAGCAGTGTCACAGCAAATAGGCTCAGAGGTTATTGATATAGGAAACTTAGAAGTAACTCATGCAAGGTTGGTAACTGTTGAAGTCCTTTTGACACAAAATCACAATGAAGGACAGTCTTTACGATTCTGCTCAGGCAGATGTACAATGTTCCTTTGACAATATAGATAAAAAACTAGGAGATAATGCTCAATGTCGAGGATAATTTTTCCTAACAGAAGAAATAAAAAAATTCATGTCACATACATTAAAAAAAATTGCTATGAATTGATGCTGTTATTTTTAAAACTTTATTCCAAAATGAATAAAGTGAATTTTGAATGAACAGTGCACTGAATTAGCAGTACTCCGTTGGAAGGGTTTTTTGGTTTGGCTTGATTTTTTTTGTGGGAATTGTTGATTTTTTTTTTTTTTAACTGGTGTTCTGGACATCAGTAAAGTTGTCAGTCTATAGACTACATGAGAAATGATGTGCTAATGATGCAGATTTAGTGTATTGTTCTAATTGCAATCTTCTACTTTGTTACAGAGAAAATCTCCTTAAGAATGCAATGCCTCATATTGATAAAGATTGCTGTAAGATCTCTAAAAAGCAGCAGATGATTATTACCACATTATCCCATTTCTAAGCCAGAAAACTGTAAATATCAACTGAGATTATTTCTAGTTAGAATTTTCAAGTTGAGACCATCTTTAGGGAAGTCAGCTTGGTTTTTTACTGTGTATGTTGTCACTGTATTTGAACACACGTGTTAGAGAGATTGCAGGCAGCACATCTTCTTTGTGAGTGGAATTACTTAGATTGGAAATTGAAAAATATTGTAAAATTGGTTTTGAAGTGTTAAGACATTGACATTTAATGATCTTGTGCAATTAAGAGTGACATAAACCAATAGTACTGCGTTCCTCAGTGCTTGAGCAGACTCAAGTTTTATTAGTAATTAATATCAGTAAGATAGTACTATTACTGTTTTTTTTCCCTGGTATCTGATAATGTTTATTCCTGTAGTATAAATAGTGCAGAGTATATAAATGGCAAAGTGTAGGTACCAGTGTAATCTAGGTATAAGAGTACTTTGATACAGGCAATCAAGTTAACCCAGAGGTTAATAATCTTCCATTTCAAGCTGGTACATACTAAGTGTTTGAAGTAGGACCAATGTTCCTTTCAGTTCTATGCAAAACCATCCTGAAAAGCATGATGCTTGAATTCTATAATAGTTCTGTATAAAATCTCTTAAGAGCATGCATACCATACAGTTGGAAGTAATTAATTGGTATGAAGATGGATACAATAGTTTTCTTCCTGTTTCCTTGCCTTTGATCAGCTGGAGGCACATTATACTACCATGAGGTGCAGTTGAACAGAGGGGTCAAAACTATGAATAAATACATTTTTTATGTGGCCTAATATGTTGCTAGTATTTCTGATACACTTTCTTAGTTCTATTTTAAGAAATGTTACAGGCACAAAAGGGAAATCAGACTGCTTAGCTGACAGGGATGGTTTCCTTAGGCTTGCTGGGAATTAAGGCAGACAGTTTTCTTCAGAAGCTGATTAAAGCTTCTCCATCACTTTCTGGATTGTGTTTGTTTGTTGTATCTTGATCCACAATAAACTGATTTTGGTTGGCAAGAGCTGCTCTTTCAGATAATGTCTCATTTCATTGGAAAAAAATGTTCTAAATGGAGAGAACTCTTCACTGGAGAGAACTCTTATCACAGACTTTTGCATCATTTTGGTCACACCATGTGTGAGAATTTTTTACTCCATCAGTGTATGAGTCTATAAAATACTTTTTCTAAATTTAGAACAAAGGCTTTCAATTTCTAGTCAGCCATCATGAATCAGTAATCACTGATTCTGATATGTTTTAATGGTAATGCTGTTTTTACTTCCATGTGCAAGTATGATCATAGCTCCACAACTGTTTTTTTACATACAGTTTTCAAGAGACTTGCTTAGTGGGTTTGCAGTCCTGGCTTGCCAGTTTCCTTCAAAGTTTTGCTGAGTTAGCTGTAGGCCTTGGACATTCTCTTGGATTCACAGAATTTCATGTTGCTGATTTTTCAGTAAAATAGTCTTGAAATACCTTGTCCTCAAATCTGTCTTTCTGGTTTTTATTAGCATTACTTGATGACTGTGATTTGAGCACTCATGTGCTCAAATTTTAAATGTTCAATAAGTAATTTATGGTTTTTTACTTCCCTTCTCTTCCCAGTCTTGTTTTTTTACTCAGAGTAAAACTTCACATTTTCCCCCAAAACTGACCTATTTCAGTCGAGCTAAAGCAAAGACTATTACTGAAACCTGACCATATTTGTAGATTGTGTTTTAGATAACACATGTTGTTATCATAGGTTAAAGAATTATTTTCTCTAAATTATTAATACAAATTTCCGCAGAATCAGTTAGTTTGGAAAGAACCTTTGAGATCATTGAGTCAAAGCTATGACATAACACCACCTTGTCAACCAGACCATGGCACTGAGTGGCACACATAGTCTTTTCTTAAACACCTCCAGGCATGCTGACTGAAGTGATTAGACATTCCAATGTCTAATCACCCTTTTCGGGAAGAAACTCTTCCTAATATCTAACGTAAGCCTCCCCTGGTGCAGTATAAGGCTATTTCCTCTCACCCTGTTGCTGGCTGCCTGGGAGAAGCAGCCCATCCCCACCTGGCTAGAGCCTCCTTTCAGGCAATTGTAGAGCCCGGTCAGTTCCCCCTGAGCCTCCTTTTCTCCAGGCTGAACACCCCCAGCTCCCTCAGCTGCCCCCCACAAGCCTTGTGCTCCAGACCCTTCCTCAGTTCCATTGCCCTTTTCGGGACACGCTCCAGCCCCTCAGTGTCTCTTGCAGTGAGGGACCCACCCAGAACTGGACACAAGGTTTGAGGTGTGGCCTCACCAGTGCCAGGTACAAGGGAGCAATCGCTGCCCTGCTCCTGCTGGCCACACTATTTCTGACACAGGCCAGGATGCCGCTGGCCTTCTTGGCCTCCTGGGCACACCCTGGCTCATGTTCAGCAGCTGTGGACCAGCAGTCCCAGGTGCTTTTCCACTGGGCCACATTCCAGTCACTCTGCCCCAGCCTGTAGCACTGCCTGGGGTTATTGTGGCCCAAGTGTTGTACCCTGCACTTGGGTCTTGAACTTCAACAAGAAACACATTTTGAAACGCTTGCACATTGAGGTAATTTTATCTTACTTCAGAAACTTTTGTTGGGACTCGTGAAAGCATGCTTCTGTGGAATTTTGAAATTGTGAAAGAAGTCAATATGTATGACATGTTTGATGATATTTTCTATTTTTTCAGGATAATGAGAATAATATTAAGGAAGGAAGATGTTTGATATGTGATAATTATGTAGAGACATTTTGGTTCTTTTCACTCAACATTGTGCAGCACTTATGAATTATTAACAAAATTTTAAGCATCATAGTATTTTTCCCTTTCTCCCACAGTAGAAGGGCATGGATTGTGCAGTATATGGCTTTTTCCAAGGGAGTTTTGCATACCAAAGGATCTTATATATTTATGAAATTGTACTTGGAAAATAAGGAATCATTTCTTTCTTCAGCATGCAGATATATGGCCACCTGCTGGGAAAGCAAGAAAACAATCTATAACTAAAAGTCCAAAGATCAGAGGCTTACCGCTAATTCCCATTCATCAGGAGAAGAACACTTGTAAAATTAGAGAGAATACAGAGGTAAGCGGGGTTTAAACTTGATGTAGAACTTTTAACCACAATGCTATAATAAGTAGTCCTGTAATAGTGAACACCCTCGAGCTAGATAAATATGGAATGCGGATGCTCTCATCATCAATGCCTCTTCCCATATTTTGTCATTAAAGGAACATTTAGGACAATTTAATATGAAACAGCTATTGTAGTCTCAAGTTGCATAACTTCTCTGGCTGTTCAGTAAATTACAATGGACTTTTATTTGTGCTTGTTTTTTGTTTTTGAGTATAGATTGTTCATTAGGAGTAAATAAGACTTTTAGCTGGAAATACTATGCAGATAATTACAGTATGGGTTTTATTTTTTAATAAGATCCTTGAACACTGTCCTGCATTCATATCTTAACAATATTTTTTCTTCTGTCTAAAACAACTGCGCGGTTCTAGTTGTGTACTCTGTGAATGTAACGGAAAAGCTCAGATGGAACTAAGGTTGATCCATTTAAGTTGTACTATTATTAGTCTTAAAGAAGAATGAAAGTGTTTGGTTACAACTCTTTGAACAGACTGAGCTTTGTTACAACATTATGTGCACTAGTGATATATCTGAACCATATCATATTAGCTTGAGATTACTGTCTGGTATCCCCATAGAGATACTGATGCCTGTGGAGAGAACTTACTTGCCTTAATTCCAGCTGAGATGAAGCAGTGGAGGACTGTTCTGCTTGGAAATAGTAGTGGTAACTAGCCTGACTGCAGCAGTGAATAACTGTTGAAACAACAGCTTGGTCCTTTGACTGCAGCAGTATCATTTCATGCACATTTTAAAATATTTTGAAAGCAGAGGTTAATATGGGATGTGTTATCACCACTAACAGAGGCGGTGGTTCAGATACAGAATGGTAAACTTGGCTTTTGCCATAGTAAACCAAAAGCAAAAGGCAGGCACAGTGCTTTATGTACAATACAGCTCTGTCTTGTGTTACACTTTCTTCCAGAAAGAATTTCTGCTATACCTAACTACAAGAGTACAAAACCATGTTACAATATAAGTATTTTGTAATTTGTTTACAAATTTTTGTATTTTGTTTAATTTGTCCTTTTTAACCTTTTCTCAAAAAGTATTTTTGAAATTTTTAGCAAGTTCTTTCTGATGCTTGTATTTTCAAACTTGTTTGAAAGTAATCAGGTCTTGTCAGTCAAAAAACTTCATAACGCTTAGGTGTGTCTCTTACCTGTTCTTTATGCAAGTACACTTGAAACCTCTAAGTTCATTCTTTGAGATGGTTACAAATTCAAACATTCTAGCATAAAAGTTTTATTGAATTTTGAGCTTCAGTCTTAAAAATCCTTAATGCCTTACAGTACTGTATGTATTTTTTTTTGTGGATAATTAGCTTTATTAGGGAGGACTTTAATGTTTTGTGAACTGCAACTTTGAGGAGGTCTGCATTTAAACTTAAAATCAGAAATCCACCATCTTCATTATTTATGCCTAAATAATAATGACTAAATTTCGATAATTTTTATGAAAAAGGTATTTGCATACTTTTTTGAATGAAAAAGGTATTTGCATACTTTAGGTTAACACAATACATAATGAGAAATACACCCTAATGCTTTTTTTTTTTTACATGGAAAGCTAAAACTGGAATGAACAGTAAAACAGTGGTAGAAAGTATATATATGATATGATTTATTAAGAAGAAATATCCCAGTTTATTAATACCCCAGAAAAACCCCAGTATATTAAGAATATACCTCAGTGGAGTTAGTTAAAAACAATATGTACCATTCGGAGACCATGCCTTCAGTCTTTCCATGAATTTGAGTACTGTTCCAACATGCAAGAATATCTCAGTTTTAAAGCACTAGAAAGTAATAACAGGAACAAACATTTTCTGAAATATGCTGGTTATGGAAAATGGACGTCTGTTTACAGATCAATGTGTAAACTTGCAGTAGAAATGTCATCAATTTATACGGGCAGGAAAAGAGACTGAAAGTTCTCCAAACAGTGAAAAAAGTGATATCTTTCTGAGAGAAAGATGACTGGGTGGGGGGGAGAAAAACCCAAATCACCATAAGTTTAAAGATAGCCAGAAACTGAGTTTAATATTTTTTGCTAAAATGTCTATATTGAATGTTGGATTTTTCCTAAAACAAAAAAATTGTTGGAAGCAGTTTTATTGTATTTTAGCAAGATAAATGTGTAATACTAAAAGTTTGAAAAGCTCAATAACTAAGAATCCTAATAACAAATAGAACTAAAACATTTTGGTTATTTCTACACCACTTGTTGCACATGTGGGTAGTGCATTTGAAGTATGCATATTTCTCATATAGAATTATTTAACTGAAATAGAAATATATTGCTGTGTATCTGCAGTAAGTATTTGTTTTTATTTCAAAATACAAGAAGGCTGAGGAAAGAGGAATATATTTTCTTTCAAGCATGATCAAATAGTATACTGACTTACAATAGGTCATACAAGAAAGGCCCCAACTATTCTATAATTCTTTGTATCTAAACTAGCTCCTCCCTAATGTTTGAGTAGTTTTTAACGTTTGTTTTAACATATAGGAGGTATTAAGATTCCAAGGAACAAGTTGCTCATATGCTGTGGATGAATAACTCCGTAAAAAATGCAGTCAAACTGAACAAGTTCCACACAGGAAATACAAAAAGACCCAAAGTCTCCCTCAGCTTTCTCCGCCTTCTGGTTGTCAAGAAAGATGGCACACATGAAGAAAGTATTCCAGGACCTAATTTTCCTTTAGAACTACCAGGGTTTTCCACAAAAGGAATGTTCTACCTACTGCTGCACCACCCGAGTAGCCAGAATACAATAATGCAAATTTAGAAGCAACATCTGGTTTACCTTTCATTTTCTGCAGCTTAAGAACTTGAAAACAGCCCACTAATATGCAGATTGAAAAAGAAGCCAGTCTTTATAACATATCAGTTAGTATTTAAAAGCTCCTTTAAATGCTTATGTGATTGTTTAAAATTATCTCTCCTATATTCATGTTGCTCAGTCATTACGTTATCAAAACTGTAATATGCACAGTTGTATTAATTCCACCAAACAATTTTAGATCTTTTAGCGTATATTGATCTGCTCTAAAATGCTAACATTTAGTCTACTGTGGTAGAATGAAAAATCAAATTGTGGTTATATGAAAATAAACCTTCATGTCTTCATTGGCATGGTGCATGATTTATGTAAATTTCAGAAGTATCGCTAATTGAGAATTTGCTCACTAAAAAGGATTACTAAATAATAATATGACAGTTGTGGTAATTTAAAACTGATTTTGCTGTCTCAGCTCTTGAGTAAAATTAATTTTTTTTCTTTAAAACTTATGTGAAACTAATGAGCAAAAATTGCAGTCTAAGCATTTTTTTAATATGTTGTGAATTAACTTATTTCTCTTTGCTTGTTTTGTAAGAATATAGAACTACAAGCTGGAAAATCAAGATTTGGTGAACATCATGATAATGAACTTCTGGAAGAAAGAAAAAACTTGAAAGAAAAAGCATCTATTGTGGCACAATGTTTGGAAAGAAAGGAGGAGAAAGGGCGAAATCATGCAAAAACACATCGAAACTTGATTTCTGAGGATGATGCAGGCTCGGGGATGACTGAATTACACCAAATACCCCATAAGACACTGAAGAAAAACAAAAACAAAACAAACAAAACTACTTTGGAACTAGATAGTAAATTGCCATCAGATGTGATTCAGGAACTAAATACAGTGCTGCAGAAGAACAGAGCACTTAATGAAACCTCCAGCTGATTTCCTGAACCTGAAGTGTAACACTTACATGTATATTCTTGTGTTATTATGTATATTTGTATATGTTATATATAGATCTGTGTGTGTGTTTTCTGTTCAAAAGTAGTCTGTTTTGATGTGTCTAGTTTGTACAGTGCAGAGGAAATAAGGAAATACAATTTGTTTATATGCAGCTGTTGATTTTGTATATGTGTATACCCCATGTTATAATTTACGACTGAATTGGGAGAACTGATTATGTAAAACTCCTGAAGTTTGGAAGTTTTTCTGTGCAGTGCAAGGTCATCAGGGTTTTGACTATTTTGTTGTCGTTTGTTTCAGATTTTGTTTGATACAAACATTGTAAGGACTGTCAAAAGCTTTTGCTGTTTGTACTCTGTACCACCTTGTAAATACTAGAGAGATATTTTTAAAACACAAGATATACTCTGAAATTCATGCTATTGGCCTGCAATATTTTAAATTGTCTAACACTATAAAAATTGGTAACATCTGATTTGAAATTGATTTTTTGTTGTTTTTCTTGGTTTGGTTTTTTTTTAGTTCGTGGTTTTGTTTTTAAGGAGAAATTAGTATTTTCTTCCATAGAATTGTTCTCTGACAAGGCATCATGTGAAGGAATCAAAAGGGAGAGAAATGTAGTACATGAGACAATGTATTAATTCTTGTATCTTGAAACTGTGTCTCTAAGGGTGTACATCTTGATTTTTACACCTAAGTAATGAGACTATTGAGGGGGACAAAAAAAAGTCTTCAAAGCAATGTCTAATGGGTATGTCTAATGGTATGGGTATGTCTAATGGTATGGGTATGAAGAATAGCACTGTCTCAGTGGGCTGATTCTAAACAGGCCTTGCTTAGCTCAGGGTGACAAAGGCAGGCTTTTCTATTGCTCTTTGAATAGAGCTTGCTTGGTGCTAACAAAGTTGTTGACCTTCCATAAATGTTTAGTATTTAAATGAGAAATTGATTCCTTTAGGAAAAAATGATGCCTACACAAACAAATCAGAATGGTACCAACACACCAAGTGATAAGAAGTGCCAAATCCTAAACGGGGGAAGAGATTTACCCCTCTTTTTACCATAAGGAAAAAGGTAATAGTATTCTGTTTGCAGGAACTAGCAAATGCTTGTCCTACAACTTTACCACTGCTCTTCTGTGCGTGCAGGCTGGTCCCAGGGTTGAGAGAACAGCCTTGCTTGCCGCCGTCTCAGTATGTAGGTGGCAGTTCATGAAGATAGTGAGTAGTGCAGTACAGCTATTTTGATTTTTAGGCCCGGAGTTCCTTAAATTTAATATTCAGCAATGCTTTTCCAAACAAAACCTATTCAAGGAATTAAATTATTTGCAGTTGTTTTGTAGATTTTATCTTCACTTAGCCCTTGGGACTGCTGATTTGACATGTTCCATAGCACCTGGATGGGCAGAAGGCACTGCTGTGCTGAGGCTGTTTTCAGGTGCTGTAGATGCTGTCTGGTTAAGCAGCAGGACCAACAGACCTGAGCTCCCATGAGCTCACAAGGCACTTTGCTGCAAGGGAGGCATTAATAAGAGCATCTGCTCGTTTTTGCTACTGTCCCTTTTGTGGTCTGACTAGTCACGCTGCCACAGATTTTCACCAGCCTTTTAAGAACTTACTGATGCCTTTAGTGTTTGATTGGAATTGGCCAGATCTCTTAGAGTAGGAGGGAGGAAGCACAGAAGCGGTATGCTCACTTACTCCCTCTTCTATTTTTGGTACTCACAGGTGCCCTAACATTTCTCACATCATTTGCTTCTATTCTTGATTACATTGAGCAGCTTAATTGGAAAAATAATGTGTTTGATTGAAGAAATTAGACAAGTGACTCAAATAATGTACCTGGCAACTCTGCTAGAAAGCACAGAGAAAATGAGATCAAACTCAAATATTTTATAGTAGTATTTATTACTCTGGAATATACTGACAAAGCAAGTCTAGTCTTTAAGACTTTGCACCTACCTTATTTGACCAGTTGTCTGAAACAAGTTAGTAGATTTTAATTTTCCCAGTGCACCATTGACTGTTTTGCTGCCTTCACTTTGTAATTGAGCCTCTTCTAATCATTGAGGCTCTGTCTCAAGGAAGCATATCAGCCTGAACTCAAATTTTACTGATTAAAGCTGGTGCTTAATGTTAATAAACACATCCTTAAATGCTGATTTGAGCTGGGCACTAATGCCAGCAGGAGATATTGCTTTATTTTCTGTCAGGCTGGACTTGAATGTACTATTTACATTTGTACTTTTATTTGTAGCTATTTCTCAGTTTTGAGTTATGGTTTTTATATTGTTTATCTTTTTATTGGGACCTTAAGAATGGCATTCACTTCACTGCTGAAATGATGCTTCATGCATCATTTAAGCCACTACACTAATGGAATAAATGGAGCAGTGGAAGGGTTTTGTGCATTGGAGTGAATATATCTGTGAAGAAAATGGTTTGTGTATTTTTATTGGTTCTAAGGACTACATAAACATTTGTTCTATTTCAAAACCATGTCACAGGTAAAATATCTGTATAACTTCTGCTAACAGGCCATAAAAATCAATAAGATATTTAATAAAATGTGTTTAAATTTGTTGTTGTATGTATTCATACACAAAAACACATTTATGTGCACATTTGCAGAGGCACACTGAATGATGACAGTGTTAACACAAGTAAAGTTTATTTGGGGAAGTAGAAATTAAATTTGCAATTAATTATTTTAAATAGGTGTCAAAGTTTTGAACAAAACATCTGACACATTATTGTTGCACTACATGTTTCAGACTGATCTAAGACCTGCAGAATAAATGGGGTTTGTTGCAATATCTTAATGGCTGCTGATCTTTTGTTGTTCCTGTGCCATGTTGAGGACTGGTAAAGTGTAATTTTTAGAGAATTATAATTGAATAAATGCTATTTCTCAGAACTAGGTGATGGATTTTTTTTTTAACAGTATGTTAAAAAAGAAAAATAATCAGTGTCTGCCCATATGAAAGCTGTTGAATAACCTGGTAAGAGCTTACTTTCTCATCTGTAAAATGAAATTAAATGGGAGACTGGTGTTTTATGTATGGGCCTGTAACAGTTTGAAGACTAAGATTAATATCTTAATAAATCTTAGTAGATCTCAGGTTCATCATTGCTTTGTTAAACTTCTACAATCATGATAGGTAGGTGTAAAGTTGACATGTAACCATTGTTTTTGTTGTTAACATAATGCCTGGTTTCTGTTTGTGTGTGGGGTTTTTTTTCACATTTGTTAGGATGGGTGAGGGAAGCAAGTGAAAACCCAAGAAGAAATATGAGCTAGATTCCTAATTTTCTTTTTCTTTACTTGAGCTGCATATTGTCTGCTATTTTAGAATGTTTCTTCAAAACAGATCTCTTTCGGAGGTACTATTTTGAGATGCAAGTTCAAAAGAGCACTTTGACTAATAGGTTTTGTGCCTCAGCAGAGACTTTCTTTGTGTGAGGTTGATTTCACCAGCTGGGATCTACAGAGTGTGTTCATGTAGACCTTGCCTTTACTTTGTTACTGGGGTTGAGATGCAATTTTTACATTAAAAGGTTTTGCAAATGTTATCTGAGAATCTGTCCAATGGAGAAAGGATATCCCCAAAGATTTCTTCAGTTAATGGGGAAAGCTTGGCCATATCATTGATTTTTGTTTCTTCCTTGGGAAGAGCTCTGGGCTGTTCTGCCTAAGGCAAGTTGTTAGGACGCCTTCAGCTCTGTCTGCCAGAGGCACCCCTGGGGTGCCTTTTGCTCTCATGTATTGGGATAGTTTTAGACTGCTCTGGAGATTCAGGGTTTATCTGAGAGTAAAAGTTACAGGAGTTTTATCTCACTGCTATGATTTTTCTCTCCCCTGATACACTGCTGGCACAGTTTGTGTTCCTATGAGTGCTGCCAGGTTTCCACCATCTCCACAGCTCAAATTCCAGATTAAGAAGTTTAAGAAAAAATTTACATGCTCTGCTGAGGACGGGGTTGGTACCTGCAGGAGTGAGGAAGTAAAGGGGTGCATGGTTATGACACTTTGTTACAGGCCTACCCTGTTACGTCACCTCTCTGATTTTTATATCCTGTTTTCCAGTGCAGTCTGTTTCAGTGGGAGAGTCAGCTATCAGACTTTGCTTGAATTTGAGCTAGAACCGCTTCAGTTCTGCTTGAGTCCAAATGGAAACTGAAAAAAAAATAAGGAAAAAAAAGAAAAAAAGTACTGACTTGAGTCCCTGTTTGGAGCATAGAATGATCTAAAAAATTATTTTGATTTGGGCTACTTAAGAGAAATTTGTGGATTCAGTAAGTTACATTGGGAAAGCTGAACTGTATAGAAACAGACTACCTTGATAGACGGATTGAGTGTATTCCAAGTTGAATTGTTTGGAAGAATATGTTGCAAAACTGAGCAAGATGCAGCAAGATTGCCTGGGAAGAATCAGGATTCTCCAATACAGTATTCCTGCTTCTGAACCGCTGGAGAGATTCTCTCTGCTGTCAAAAAATGATGTATTTGTCAAACTCACTGTTTCTTAAGATAGACTGTTCTATGTAAAAAAAGTCAAAATTTTATCAGTGGTTCACAGTCAGTTTGGAGATTACACTGCTTTACTTGCGGCTCCACTGAAAATGGGATCCATCTTCAGCTCAGTTAAGGGGAAAAAACACCCCTGCTATTTTAGCTCTTACCACTGCTGTAGCTTAATGGTTTAGATATTTAGTTATGTTTAGTTATTGTCTTTGCTGAAGTTTCTTTGAGATTATTCCTGTTATGCTTTGCCACTCATTTTTCATTAGAAATTCATTATGATCTGTTGTACTGATGAGGAAGAAGGGTGTGGATGTTAATGCCAAATAGACTACTGTATCTTCCTGCTTACCTGTACTTTCACTGCAGTTCAGAATTTTCCTTAGTCTACCTGAACTTACTTGAGCTCTGTGTCTTTTTGCTCTAGACCCCTGTTCTGCATCTTAGACTCTGGGATATCCTAATCTTTAAGGTATCTTATATACACACTCCCACTCTGGTCTAATGTATGGTTCAAATTCTAGCCATTTCTGGTTAGATCCCATCCCATCTCTGAATATTTTTTTTGCCTCTGCAGATAGTATGTGCATTATGGTCAAGACCATTATGTCAAGGTTCCCTTAAGCTTTCTTTTAAGTCCTGTTAGAGCTGTTCTCAATGCCACCACAGAGAAAGGGATTTCACTGAAGTAACAGAGAGAGAGATCTAGATGTTATCCAATAGGTTTTCCAAAGTTCTGTAACCCATTCCTCTGAAGATCATCTACATACTTATATTTGTATTCCTTAGCCAATCAGTAGTCAAACTAAAGCAAATGTACTCTCTTTGCCTTTTTAAATTATTTTAGTTCAGTTCCTTAATGATCCTATAATAATTGCTTGTGCCTGGTAATAACACAGTTTCTTGCAAATTATACCTTTGGCTACATAAAGTGTTTTCTTTCTGAATTTAATTAACATTGGTATGTCCAGTACTGCAGACAGTTTCAGAACTAATAGGTTGAGGTTTGCTCTGTGTAT